GCGTAAGAAGTTGGGATTCTAGCAGAGAAGAGCTCCCAGAATGCATTACAAATGAATATGTAGGATACGCTTTTGTAAGATGCCTTAGATACATTACAAATATACACTTCAATCACTCATCTATCCCTTTCATCTACGAATGGCACCGTGTGGTTCGTAGGGGAAAATTTTTGAGTAGGACTCAAAGAGGTTTCAGATTCTTCATTGGTCTTGGAGCCGGAACAGTCGGCGTGATGCGTGCTTACGCTTCCACAGCCAGCAGCCTGAAAGATCGCGCTCGTGCAATCACATTTATCCAAGCCAGCTATGTCATCGGGATGACGATTGGACCCGGAATCCCGGTAAAGCTTTCATTCACTTGAGCATTTTTTCTTTATTTTTCTCTCTCATGTTCACCTAGTATCAGAAGCCAAGAAAGGATTTCTCGAATTATAGGTCGCTTTCGCTCCGATCAAATTCCCAGGACTCGTGTTCGGGCCTGTTCATCTGGACATGTACACTGCCCCGGCTTGGTTCGCAACGCTGATCTGTATTCTGTCACTGGTTTTGCTTATCATCTTACTTGAGGAAAATTATGCCGGTGTTCAAGAAGTCGACAGTGGTAAGAATGACTGGTATTCCCCTTTGTTTAAGATAAAGCCACCTCAGTCATACTTATACCTCATTATACCTCATTACTGTGTTAGCAAACAGGATTTTAATGCAAGCAAAATAACGAGCTACTGAATTTGCATCTGCGCAAGTGTAGTTGGTTATTAAACTGTAGGATAAGAATTTTTATTTTTCTAATTCTTTTCAGAAAATAATTTGAAAACGGGATAGCCATTAGAATACAATAAATGATACTAGGTTGTCCGGAAACTCTCATCACGTTTCAGAGTCAAGGAAATACAAAAAATTCTAAAAAAGTTCTCTGGTTGCCATGAAGTTGAATTCGATTCTTTGAGTCTTTCCGCTATTAGAGGAGGATTCCACGATAAGGCAGAGGTAAAGGAAGAATAGGTCAACCTAGTGGAAGGATAGACGTGCCCCGTGCATCTCCACGCCGCATTACGCCTACCCTCTCGCCGTCTGGCGCTAGCCGTTTAGCAGAGAGAGCGTTAACGTTGAAGAGGGCAGCACCGATGAGAGTCACGTCAATGTGGAAATCAGCAAGCAATGCTTTCTTTTCCTATTCATCCCTGTACCACTGACTTGAGGGCAGTGGAGTGAGGAGCGAAGGATAAGGATAAGGAGGGGAGGAGGAAAACCGATCTCTGCAGACCAAAGATAGAGATGCGGCTCTTGGAGACCAAATATATACAGGGGGCCAATAAAAAAGACATTTTGTCTCCACTTCCAGATGGATTTAAGCACATTTTGCTCAATTCAGACCGAATGGTTCCAACTTATTATTAAAGAGTGCATTCCATTCTATAAGAAAATCTTCATAGTGGCCACCTACGTGGACGGCATCAGAAGAATTTGCCCTGGAAACATGGTGCACTGGTCGATCTCAATGGGGTCTTCGAAGGATCGTGTACCATAACGACCCTTACTGGAAAGCTAGTTTACAATACCGCTCACAGAATGTGAAAAAATGACGGTGATTGACCGTCGCACCTATCAAAGACCGTCGCACTACCATAACTCCGCTGAAAGCGAATGAAACGGAAAAATTTAAACTCCTATAGATACGTCTCCTCACAACGAGTTCCAGGATGTGTTATGGGTCGGGATCGGCTTAAGTAGGTCACCAGCTTTACCTTTTAAGCTGGGGCAAAATCCAATTCTGACCTCAAGGGTAGAACACCATTCGTTAGATCCCATGTTTATGTGCACAGTAGTCTACCGCTCGCACACTCCTCCTTTTTTGATGCATTTTTATCCATGTTTCACAGTCGTTCCCGATGCGAACGAGCTCTTCAATTTTACGACATTTCCAAATTTTGAAAGCGTATTTCATCAAAGTCTGGAGGAAATACGACGAAACGGCTACAAGATCTTGAACTAGGTATGTAACTGCGCAACAACTTTGTTGTTTATTGGAATGCAGCAAAGCGGTTCTTACATAATTTAGCTCTGAATATCGGTATACGTCAAATTCTTCGAGCACAATCACTTTTCTTTTCTTTCCGAAATTGCGCTTAAGCGAAATGTATGACCAACGAATCGAATGGTTATTCCAAGAATATGACCTATTGTGCCGTATAAGTGGCAATAATGGCTTATGAACAAACGTTAAGGTAAACTAGATAAGAGACAATACCTCACCCTTTGAAAAAAAATTTACGGACAGAGAATACAGAACTAGTGTTGAAATTCATACAGTTGTACTCGGCGCGATGAATGCTATCCGATGATATATAAGTTATTACCCAAAGACTACTTTGTTTTTACTCGTTTTTTTCCTTCGTGATCGCTAGCCAATGACCAATCGCTAGCTGACCTCGTAATTACCCTACGCTGCGAGGGTCAATGCCTCGCGGTGTTATCACTCCTCTTCGAGGCATGTTCGGCTTCCGAATACCGCTAAGCGTCGTTTTTCTGAAGCCCCTTCAGATTTGAAAGAGTGAGAAGCGATCCACTCTAGCTTAGGCCGTGGAACGCCAGCGAATCCTCCCGTGGCACAGCAATGCAACGTCACTGGAATGGCGCTTTCGGTTTTTGAAATTATGACGCGACTGCTCCATCCTACGAGGTTAAGTGATGTTCCCAAGTTTACCTACTGTACTCACTAGCTTTTAATTTACTTCGTAACATTTCGTAACATTTTCCAATGACCAGCAAAAAAAAGAATTTGGAACAGATTGATAAGTAAAAAAGAGATGATCAAACCCAAATTCTTCATTCTTTATATTTTATCGTGTACATATCAAGTTGACAAAATGAGATAAATTGAGGGAACTGATACAACGACTGGCCAACGGGGAACCCCATGAAATCAAGGTACTAGCAAAAAAGAGGAAATCAAAAAAAAAGAATACGACACCAATCCTTATAAGAACGAATGCAAATAAGTGAGGTGTGAAATGGGCTCCCAGTCGTGCCCCAATCCGGCATAATTTCGAAAACCCAAAGCGCCATTCCAGTAACGTTGCATTGCTGTGCCACAGGAGGATTCGCTGGCGTTCCACGGCCTAAGCTAGAGTGGATCGCTTCTCACTCCTTCCAACTACGGGAATCTGAAGGGGCTTCAGAAATACGACGCTTAGCGGTATTCGGAAGCCGAACATGCCTCGAAGAGGAGTGATAACACCGCGAGGCATTGACCCTCGCAGCGTAGGGTAATTACGAGGTCAGCTAGCGATTGGTCATTGGCTAGCGATCACGAAGGAAAAAAACGAGTAAAAACAAAGTAGTCTTTGGGTAATAACTTATATATCATCGGATAGCATTCATCACGCCGAGTACAACTGTATGAATTTCAACACTAGTTCTGTATTCTCTGTCCGTAAATTTTTTTCAAAGGGTGAGGTATTGTCTCTTATCTAGTTTACCTTAACGTTTGTTCATAAGCCATTATTGCCATTATACGGCACAATATGTCATATTCTTGGAATAACCATTCGAATCGTTGGTCATACATTTCGCTTAAGCGCAATTTCGGAAAGAAAAGAAAAGTGATTGTGCTCGAAGAATTTGACGTATACCGATATTCAGAGCTAAATTATGTAAGAACCGCTTTGCTGCATTCCAATAAACAACAAAAGTTGTTGCGCAGTTACATACCTAGTTCAAGATCTTGTAGCCGTTTCGTCGTATTTCCTCCAGACTTTGATGAAATACGCTTTCAAAATTTGGAAATGTCGTAAAATTGAAGAGCTCGTTCGCATCGGGAACGACTGTGAAACATGGATAAAAATGCATCAAAAAAGGAGGAGTGTGCGAGCGGTAGACTACTGTGCACATAAACATGGGATCTAACGAATGGTGTTCTACCTTGAGGTCAGAATTGGATTTTGGCCCAGCTTAAAAGGTAAAGCTGGTGACCTACTTAGCCGATCCCGACCCATAACACATCCTGGAACTCGTTGTGAGGAGACGTATCTATAGGAGTTTAAATTTTTCCGTTTCATTCGCTTTCAGCGGAGTTATGGTAGTGCGACGGTCTTTGATAGGTGCGACGGTCAATCACCGTCATTTTTTCACATTCTGTGAGCGGTATTGTAGGGGTTGCCATAAGTGGTAGCTAATGTCTCTTAGACAAACTATCCAACATTAAATCGATTCACGAAATTGCGTAAGAGCTTCAGCCTTTAGCCTGCGTAAGAGCTTCTAGACCTCCTTGAGATACGACCTTGAGATCACGCGGTGACAGATGACGTCATATTCTGAAGACGGTGAGGGCAGTGAAGGAGAGCCTGCGTACACTAATAGAGGAACACTTAGGGAATACTCTGCTGAGGAACTCCCGTCAACGACAGCAATCTCTGCGAAGAAAAAAGAGCCGAAGTCCGACATAGGCAAAATGTCTTTTTTTTGCCCCCCCCCCCTGTAGATGCATGGGGGTGAATGCCCGTTAGGGGTATCAGGGATGTGTACTAGAAGCACGGTAGGCAAACATATTTCGATCTCGTCATCAATAACAGCAAAAAACCTACACAACAGCTGAACTATCCGAATTCAATGTGAATGCTAGATGTTTGCAGCGTTGTGAAAAGTAGTACGAATCGACTTCTTTTTTGCAACTAATCCGTTTCTCGTCGTATGTGGAGATGCACTTCGTTGTAAAGTATTAGGTTGGTGCATAAGTCTTACAACAAACTGGCTGAATTTTGATTTCGAAGTTTTGTTACCTTTTTATTACATTCACCCAGCATGGTGCCCAACGTCAATATCTACATCCTATTGCCAACGCGTTAAAAGCTTTCTTCTTAAACCCCACTGAATTGTGATCGAAAAAAGATCAGATTTCGATTTGGCGTTATGATGGTTAGGTTGAGATTTGTTCTCTTGAACGTGATCTGGAAAGGGAAGCAGAGGAGCGCCCTTTAGCGCGAGGTCAGAGCTATAAGGTGGATACGGAAGGACTCTCCGCCTGACCAGGGAAGGCTACACGGTAGAAGTTGCCATTTGGTACAAGAATACACCACATAGAGACATTTCTGGATGCTTTAGCTCAATCATCCCTCTAATCGCCCGAACCGATTGTTTTCTCTGAAGCGTAGTTGGCGAGTAGTGCAGTGGCAGCGGCCCGAGCCGACGAGTAGGAGGTCGTGAGATCGAGTTCCTTCTGCGATTTCTCACGTTTGCTTTCCTTGATGACATTGCCAAAGATGCTCTTATCCATGCTAGGTTATTAGCGATTGCCTACATTACAAGTAGGAATAGCTAGCGAGGAGCATCTCTGTGCGCGCCATTGCGCCATAGGATCCCTGGTGCTCCTAGCGCACGCGGCAAGCGCTTTCGTGCCAAAATGAGACAACATTCGTGTTCAGCGCATCAAAATACCCCTCTCTACAACTTTTGGCCCAAATTTGGACTCAACTTTCGAAAATGTGGACAGTCACCGTTGATCATTTGCACATGGCACGCACACTTGATCGAAAACCCTCGCTATCTCCTCGCACTTGTAATACAGGCGAGTGCTGATGACTTAGCATAGATGAGGATCTCCTTAACAATGCTCTAAGAAAAAGCAAAATTCAAAACTCGCCGAGAATTCGATCTCACGACCTCTTTCTAGTCGGCTTGGGCCGCTGCCACTGCACTATCTCGCTTCATAACTACGTTCAGAGAATCGTTTCGCAGATTTGGAGAGCAGATTCGAGATCAGCGTCCAAAAACACATCTAGTGGTGTATGTCTCGTTACAAATGGCCACTTCGACCTGGTGTC